TAAAAATAAGTGAACAAAGTTAAAAAAAAATGTAACGCTAGATTGTTTTACTTCTGAGTTGTATGTCAGTGAAGTGAGATTTCCCGATCGTGCGTACGTCCCTGAACGTCTCTCGGTCGGCTCAACAGAAAATGGTGTCACCTTTAAGGAGCTTGAAAAGTGGAGCTTATTCCCTTTAAATCTGACCTTCTATCAGGCTGTTTCCAGTCGGATCCACTCAGGAACTGTGAGGTGAGTGAAAACCGACCGAATCCAAACGGTTTGCGGCTTATTTGCTTCTTTTCTTTAACTTATTGTTTCGGTTTTTTTAGTTTTATTTTGGAGCGTCGGTTCCATTAGCTTAGCTTAGTTAGCCTGATGGGATTTAGCCAGAAACTGATAAATATGAAGAATACTTTACCACTCCACTATAGTTTATATTTAGTTGTTTTAACGTCAGGAAATCATGTTTTCGACGTCAGTTTAAGGTAAAGTCAGTCAGTGTGGGACAGATGTGGGTTCATGAGCTTTAAAACAAACAATCAAAGGTTTATTTAAACAGATAAGCTGCGTTTGAATCAAGCTAGCAGTTAAAATGTTCACTGAACTGGAAGTCCGATATTTCCCTTCTAACTTCCACTTATTGTTTTGATGCTTAACTTCTCATATTACTGATTTAAATACAATTATATATGATTTATTTATATATATATAACCCAATAACCCTAATATCCAGTTAGGTTGCTTTATTTTCTCAGATTAATAGGCTGAAACTAAATGAAATTACATTTTTAAAGTCACAAAAATTTGATCTAAAATTAATTTTCCATATCAGATTATTATTTTTTTTAATATATGAAAAGATTTGAAATAATGTAAAATTTAAAGCTGCTTATAAATGATTTTGTGTGCTATCAAACATGGTGATGGCAGTATTATGCTCTGGGCTATTTTCATTAGTTGGAACTATTAGTTTTTTCTAAATCACCAGTCAGTTTTGACATCAGTTCATGTGACAGAGTAGCTAGTGGCGTATTTTTATTTTTTAAACAATTAAATCACCTCTAAATTCAAAGGTAAATAAAGTTTTAGATAAACCTTTTTTTTTTTTTTTAGATAATAGTTTAAAAAAAATCCCTTATAAAATGTTTATTCTTCTGTTCTGATAGATTTTTAGGGCAACCTTTTTGGTTAAATTGAATGAACCCCTTTTAAATCCCACTGGTGTCACTTTTAAACGTACACTGAGGTAGAGCTTGATTTAGTCGATAAATGTTCCAGATCTTTCCATTGTCCTCAGATCTCTGGATTTCCGTCCAACTGTTTCTCCTGGTGTGAAACTAACATGATGGCTGATTTTTCTGAAGTGTGGGCTCAGTTTAAGGAGCCTAGTGAATCACAAGGCGGCGCAGGAATGTAGCTTTAGGCCAGGTTTATAATGAGCCTCTTGTTCTCACCAACTCTGTTTTTCTTCTTTTTTTTTTTTGCTGATAAAGCTCTGTTAAGGCTGTTTTTTTTATGTTTCTCCTGCCTTCTCAGCCAGAACAGGAGGAAGTGAACACAGCTGCATGACTTTTCTAACACCCCCCCCCCCTTCTCTGTGTGCTTTTTATTCTTTTCACTCTGAGAGCAAAAACACCACGTGTGCTTTTGCTTGTTTAGTCTAAATTTCGCCGGCGGCTCCAGGTGCGCTGAAAGAACTGAATGTCAGCAGGTTCTGCACCACTTTCGCTTTATCAAAAAGAAAAGCATGCATCTGGTCTAAAAAATAATCATTTAAAATATAAACTTTGATATCTGATTGACTCAGTCAAACAACTACTTATTAATAAAATATTTTGTATTATATATTAACAGCAGTTTTCCATCTAATGTTTAAATTCTGATGGAAGAATAACCTAATTACAGCTAATTTAAAGGAGAATTATTCATTGTAGATTAAGTTTTTTTCTGTGTTTATAATTCTGCTGTTATGAAAGAACTACATAATATAACTAAATGTATATTTATAATATATAATCTTATCTGATCAAACCTGCTGCCTGTTTTCACGGCTTTAAAGGTAAAATGGAAAAGGAAGAAACTGACATTTTATTGTAGATTAACAATGAAAAATGTTTTCCAGCCTCATAAAGGATGAAATGTGTTTGGGAAACGGTTTAATTTTCTTTTTTTTATTTTTGTTTGCTGAGGTTTCAGCTGTAGAGAGGAGAGGGTTTTCTGTTGCTGCTTCCTGATCTGATTCTGGGTGAAATCAACTTATAAAAAGGTTGAATTAAGAAGCTGTTTGTTTGTTTATCTCTTAGTGCTGTAGAAATGAAAGAGGGTGACAAACGTGCTAAAATTAGCTGCTCAGTTTGGCAGTTTATCTAAATCTATCCGGTCTTTAAGCGTCGCTGTGTTGCACATATCCTCAAATGTTTCCATGCAACATCTCACCTCAGCCTGCAGAAATGAAGCTGAACCATTTTCATGTTCAAAGTTCACCAAACCCACAGCAGAAACAGGAACTACTTCCTTCAGTCCTCCACGTTTTATCAGATGACACCACAGGTTTGCATATTCAGAGCCTGCAGAAGTATTCACACCCCTGGAAAGCAGCGGAAAGCAGCGGATGCAAATCTAGAAAGTTTGTCAGTGAGAGGAAAGTTTTCTGCTCTGCTTTCTCACTGCTGACATTAACAGGAAGCAAAGCAGAAGGAAGTTGGGTTAAATCTGTTTTTCTCTTGCAAACCTTTGCCACTGAGGGAAACCACAATCCTTCATGTCACAAAATCTGTCTGCTCATCAATTTTAATGTAACACGACCCAAATTTAGCTAAAAACAAAACAGAACCAGAAGAACTTTGATCGTGGAAATGTTCTATAACATTTCCTTTTAGCTGATTCACTTCATCGTTCAAAGGAAAGTTAAAGAAGTCTCGTGTTTTAGTGGATAAGAGGTAAAAGATGAGTCATCAAAGCTTTTAAGTTTTGTAGTTTCTAAATTTAAAGATGCATTAACTGCAGTTAAAAGGTGGAGTTTGGTTTGAGTAACAATGAATCCTGTAGATTATTTCCTCCAGATCTACTAGTAAAGATCATTTAAGGTCATTACAGATTATTTTGACATCATTCTAACCTTTTCTAGATCACTTATACATTTTTTAGGCCTATTTTTTTTTCTTCCTCCATTTTAGATGATTAAAATTTACAGAAAAAATACTAAAGTCTTGATTTTAAACTAAAATAAACCTAAAAATAAACCTATAAAATCAGACATTAACAATGGACAAACGGACAGAGCAGAATCTTGAATGAATCAGTGAAGGCGTGCCGGTATCAGCTGATGCAAAGAAAACCACCAATAACATCACCGGACCAATGTTTTCATCTCTCTATGACCCATTTCCACTATCCGATCTGAAGCCGACCCGTGCTGAGTTCAGTCTGAGCTTGGATCAGTTAACCGCGCTGAGCTCGGTTCTAAAGGCCATTTCCACATCGCGCTAGCACACTTCCTGCCTCCTATCTGCGCTCAAAGATGGTACAGCTACAGAGGTTTGAACAGATTCCTCCCTCCTACGGAAACCTCTGGGATTAAGTCGGAGTGTCTGAGTTCTTTATCCCAATATTTATTTACTTATTTCCATCTGTGTTTTTTTTTCCAGCTTTATGTAAATATTATTCTCTACAGAAATTAAATCCAACTCCAAGATATTTAGTTTCAAACTGAAAAAGGTTCAAGATTCTTAACCTGTTTTAGATCTGGTACCTGGTAGCGGGTTGATCTGTGTTTCGCTCTAACTCTGCGGTCTGATCCGCCTCAGGTGCAGAAAGCCTCCTACCTGTCCAGCCTCCATCATGTCTCCACCTGTTCGTTCACGTTGATGCGTCCGCCGGCGCTCTGCAGCAGAAGACGGCTGGAAATGAGCACGCACAGGTGGCCCAACATCTCCAGGAGGCGGCGCTGCTGAGACGGGATCGCTTGGTGACGATCGAGAGTCCGCCGCCGCCATGGACGAGTTCTCCACCAGGACGTACGGCACCAGCGGCCTGGATAACAGACCTCTGTTTGGAGAGACGTCTGCTCGGGTACGAGGACGCAGGAGGGATGTTGGTCAGAGAGGAAGATTTCTGTGTTTAGATGCAAACATGTCAGAGTTTACCAGCTGAGTTCTGTTGCAGGATCGGATCGTCAACATGGTGGTAGGAGGCTTTACGTCTGTGGTTGTTCTGGTGAGTCCAAGCTTTAGTTTCCCCCCAGACGACTGGACATTTTCTCCATGACGGAGCCACTGCCGTGCTTCATTAAAACCAGAGTGCCCTGCTGCATCTAACGTGTGCAGAGGCTCCAAATTTAATCTGCTGGGTTTGACTTTTATCTCCAAAATACTTTGTGCTAAAATACAATAAATCTTTACTGCGGGCATCTAATAAATGAATTTAAAACCAACTTTTAGAAAGGATAAAAACAGCTTCCTGCTGAAATCTGGTCTCTAAAACGTTTAAAACTTTCCTGAAAGTTGATCAGAATGATGATCAGAATGAGACCTTTCAGCTTTGGCCTTAACGTTTATCTGCCTGTTTCCTAGGTAACGGTGATCGGCTCGTTTGTGTTCCCCTCGTTGACTCCGCAGCCGCTCAACATCTTCTTCGCAGTGTGCATCCTGCTGGCGTGTGGCTCTACCATCGTTCTGGTAACGCATCCCAGACTTGTTTGGATTCATGCCGTCCATCTGCAGCTCGATTATTCCGATTTTCCAGCCGAGCAGCCAGATGTTTGATACGATGTTTGTTTTGTTTTTAAATATAAAAAGGCTGTTTGAGTATAAATAGATTTCAAATATTCAGAATGCAACAAAAAGCCAGAAGCTTCAACCTGAAAGGCAAAGTTTAATTATGTAGAAAACATATTTCCAAGTCAATTCTTTCCCATTTCTTCCCCTGCAGATCTTCTGGTACCGACAGGGCGACCTGGAGCCCAAATTCAGGAAGCTGATCTACTACATGCTGGCCACCATCATGCTGCTGTGTTTATGTGCCAACCTTTACTTCTTCGACGTCAGGTAGAGGAGGAGCGGACGGCGCGGCTCTGACTGACGGATGGCGGTCCGGCGTGGACAGGCGGACCGACACGTGACCAAAAAGAGACTCGTTTCCACCGAGAGGCTTTCTGGGACCAAAATGGAGAGATTGAAAGTTTCCAGAAGGAGGGATTTATGTCAGCACACTAAAGGTTCAGAAAGGGGCCATGAATCAGCCTGGGGAGGACGAAGCAGGCTTGTTTACATGCAAATAAAAGATAACAGTGACTTAATTGGCATCCCGACGCTCCGGTGAGGATCCAGGAGAAGGAAAGCTGCCCTTTCATCCGGATACGTCCATTTTTCTGGGATGGTTTCCGTTTTAGCTGGGCTGACTCATCTGAAGGCCAGAGGACTCATTCAGGCTGGATTATCACTACTCAGGGAGGAGGAGGAGAACCTAATCTCCTCTAAGGCACGGAAATCAAGGGTCTGGACTAAGATAAGCCTCCAGCAGGGGGCGCCAGAGTCACAGTGATATAAAACAAGCTGAATGATAAATGGAGTCAATTATTTTTGTCTACTAATGTGATGAAGAGTTAAAAAGTGATTTGGTTTTCAGTGCAGATTGATAAAAAGTGAAGCCGAAGTCCCGATCAGCTGCCTACATTTCTATATGTTCAAATTTACTCTTGGATATAAATGACTTTAAACTAAACCGTGTCCTTTGGATTTAACAGCTAGTGGTGCGTTCAGGGGAGGCTCTATGGTCAGGAAACCTCATGTTCTAAACCTCAAAGCTTTATTTAGTTAAATGGTTTTAACTAGGGCTGCAACTAAATAATGCAAATCGAATAATCTATTTTATTTTTCGATTAATAATCGGATAGCCAAACTTAAAGACTTTTTACGAAAATAATAGAGCATATTGACAGATGAAAAAGATTTTTTTTCTTTTAATCTTAAATGCAAAATGTTTCTATATTTTTCTTTTACAATCTTGCTATAATTACTGCTTTTAGTGAGTTTCTCTGTCAGTTAAAGGCTGTTTTACAGTCTCTATACTCCAATTCATGACTGATTACTAAATTAGTTGATTATTTAATAATCGATTAATCCGATTAATTTGTTCAGCCCTAGTTTTAACAGAGAATTTTCCTTTAGCCAAGCTGAAGCAGGAGGAAAGCTGCTGACTCATGACTCATCAAGCTAACTGAACACCTAGCATACCGCGTCTGGGGCGGCTTGTAGCTTTTTTCATGGTCTAGATTGTTGTCAGATGCCTGGAATTTACGTCAAACACCAGTGAGAACCATTAAACTGTGTCTGCCATTAAAATACATTTGCACCATGAGTGCGGCTGGATTTGAACCTGTGGGGGACCCGTAGCTTTAACCAGTTTAGTAGAACAGAGGTTGGTCGGCTCAGAAGTAAAAGGGCTGTTGAGGCTTTCCAAGGTCTCATATTTCTCCACATTGTAATGGGGAACAAATTAATTTATTTTAGTTTTATAAAGCAGGACAATACAAATTAAAGTTACACAAAAATAAAAAAATATTTTCCATCCTGCGTATGGATTCAGCAACCTTAAATCTGACGCCAGAATAAAAGCAGAATAACCTGCTGGTATCTGTGTGTAACTGGAGCTCTGTCTGGATGCAGCTGCTCTGTGTACTGCCATTTACACCCCTACAGTGAGGGATGGAAGTGGCAGCATTATGCTGTGGGGAGACAATAGTGATGCTTCAGCACATGTGTGCTCTAATACTAAACCCCGTGTCGGTGCACGTATCGTTTCAGGAAAGTCATGTGATCGATACAGGAGGTGTTTTAAACTCACTGACACACTAAACTCTTTATAAGCGCATCTGGTCTTTTGCGGTTTATCATCAAATTAATCAAATTTGAAAGCAAAAGAAAGTTTTAACCATTTAACCATGGAACCATTTTGATCTCATTGGTTTTAATTTTCTTTTTTGCGTCTTCCTGTTCCTCTTAGTCTTCACTCAACTTATAAATAAAATATACACACACACATATCTATAAATCCTAGTCCACAAACATCCTTTTTCACATGTTATCATTTATGGATTCCATCTAAAAGTATCAAACATTTTCTCAATTTAAACAAAGATATGAAATAATACATTATGGCAAACACTGGCTTAAAGGAAAAGTTCGGTCATATTCAGAATCCAAACTTCTGAAAGTTCTTCAAATATGAAATTATTACATACTCTTCAATAAATAAGTGTTTTTAATTCAGAGTAATTTTCATGTGAATGTGCTTTACTGGAGGCATCCATGTTTGTCAAAGAACACTACTGCCACCTACTGGTTAGTGACGTCACGGTGCGGTATCGGCTGTTGATCAAGTCCCAGTGCTGTATCTGGTGTTTGTCACAACGCGCTATTATCCAAGTCATCTTGAAAACATTCTTCTTCCAAATGTTGGCTACATATTACGGGTTTTTTCTCTGGCCAGAAGTTCGATGGCAAATCCTCCCTCTTCAAGTTGGCGATCCAACGACCAACCCGTCCGTGGAGGATCAGGAATCAGAAAGGTGGAATAACTCTTTTTTTCACTTTTACCCGATGTATTCCAGCATCCAGCTGCCATGCACGTGGGCATTGTCAGTTTCACTATAGCTCTGGTGAATTTCAATGGTGAAGTCCTCTGGAAATCTTCAATAATTGTTGTTGATTGCAGATGTGTCTAGTAGTTCCCATTGATTTAGCTTGGAAAGCGGGGAGAATGGCGCTAGGCTTACCGCACCGTGACGTCACTGCTGGAAGATGGCAGGAGGGAGGGGTTTCTATGTTTTTTTCCTTATTAACACTAAATTCATTTTCATATTTCATTTCATATTTTCCTTTAAATCATTAAATCACTGCGAACGTATTAGTTTTAGATATGATTATTCCTTTCTGAGCGGACTTTTCCTTTAAATCATTATAGGTCATCAAATCAGTGTCAGTTTGGTCTCCCTGTAGTGATTTTAAAAATCCAGCCGGTGTCAGTATTCAGTAACAGTAACTGAATAGAAACGCTTCATGTCGCCTCAGGAACCCATTACTATGAGACAGAATCTGGTTCCAGCAGGACAGGATTGTCCTTAAAAAGCTGCAGGTTCAGGAATAACAAAACACCCAAATCTTCAGCGATTCGTCCTTTAATGTTCAAACACCAACTGTAGTTCTGGAGCGAACCGTCCTGTCTGTCTGTCACCATGAAAGAAAAAACAGTTCTACACCCCTGTGAGTCACTTATGGAGCAATAAACTGTCACTTCACCTCTCTGCCTCTTCTAGGATGGATCAGAGTCTCTAAAGTTTGTAAAGCTGCTTTATAAAAGTCGTCACATTCCTTTAATTTGTGATATTTTGCTGTGAAGTTTCAGCCGAAGATTTCAGGGTGAATTTCAGAGAATCACAAATCGTACGATAACAGAACTTTATCAAAATAACTTACACTCCTACAGTTTCTCATAATGTTGACGTTTAAAATGAAAGCAGGTTTAAATAGTTTTTTTTCTCATCATCAGCAAACAAGTTGTCATGATTAATAGATTTTTTTACCCTCATATATAAAGTCCCAAAGTTCATCAGCTTCAGCTTTCCGGGTCAAATGTTCGTTCACATTTCAAGCAGGGATTCCCCGCGAAGCTTCAAGCTTCAGTTAAAAACGTCGTCCTTCAACACAGAGGAGGCACCAGAGACTCACGGTTCAACTCTTCGGGTCGTCCTCTGGTTCTTCCACTTCAGTCAGAACCTTCCTGGTTCTCCAGGATGGGATCTGGGGACAGTCCAGAGGGGATCATCAGTGGAGGGCTGAGTGCCCTGTTAGAGGGATGGGAGTGTTGGTTACCTGTCAGGGTGCTGCTGATGTTGGGAGGTGATGCGATGAGTACCTCGCTGCCAGACGGCATCCCAGAATCCACCGCTGCAGCCTGGGTATTTAAAAAAAACAACAAAAAGTTCATTTCTATCAGGAAATTAATAAAAAAAGACACATTAGATAGAAGTAAAATAAAAGTGGAA